TCCAATGCATCCTCTCACTGAGGCTCCTGGGACTTTGGCTGATTTCATTTGGTGGCTGGATCTCACACAAGGCTCTGTCCAGGTCGTTTAAATGCTCATCTGTCAAATGGAAGTCCTTGCTGGCATAAAGCGGGTCGAACCACAGATTGACGAACTGACGGACAACGCCCAGACAAAAACAGTGCATGTAATCTGGAACAAAGCCTTTGATGATGTCAAATGACGGCAAAAGAAACAGGAGACTTGGACCTTTAACCCCCATTTGACTCTGGTCATAACTATTTCCCATCACTAACTCAGCAAGTTGCACCGTTTCAGGCATGTGTCTCAGATCACAGCCGTCCATCTGTATCGGGTAAACTCTGGTAAAACCCCTGCCCTTTATAACCATCTCACCTTTGTGGTAGCAAAAACCACAACCAAATTCTTTGTTGAACGGCTCAAAGTTCTGCACCATTGCTCTTGCTATCGCATCACATGTGCATATTTTAACTGTTACCGTGGTGTGATGCTCCGAGCCGATCTCATCTTTCCAACAGAACCCTGCAGCAGACAGTTTCTGAAGCTCGTTAATGAACGGGGTCAAAAAACTCTGAACTTGTGGTTTTCCTTTGCCAAACCATAAAGTGTGCAACAGAACGTTTTTGCACCGTTCCACATACGGTAGTTCATTGATGGTACACAGGATGGGCCAGATGGAGTATTTTGAGGAGCTGAACACGGACGAGCCATCGCAGTTGAAGGTGAGTGTAATACTGCCGTCTTGTCTTTCACTCTTGTATTCGTTTCCAGTGTGGACATCAGAAAAGGAATCATCCCTTGTGAAATGCTTCCCAAGCTTTGAGTGGACGCGTGCAAGGAGGTTTCTTAGCTGAATTTCGAGCGGCATTACAAGGAAGTAGTAAGCCTTCAAGATCAGATATTTTCTGCTCAAGCTCTGCTGGCACACACTACACTCATTACCGGGATCCACACCAAGGTAGTTTGTACACCTGGGGCAATAAAAGTGAATCTCAGTCTTTCCATTGTAATCAGTCGAATGCTTTTTTAAAAAGCGAAGCGACTTTGGAACACATCCGGGTACCACCAAGTTTAGGAGGTGCAGGAGATCTCTGGATGCTGCTTTTGACAAGCCGTGCTTCACAATGAACGCCAGGAGGAGCAGGAGGAGGGCTCCCATTGTGACTGAGGAACCAGCATATATCTTCTTCTCTCCACAGAAAAACTGCTCCTAGTAACACATGACAGGCCAGAAATATGCTTTAAAAGCTAAATGCAGTAGAAATGAACCAAAATGTCATCATTTCCATATGTAAAAAAAAATTACAAATGAAAAATAGTAACTGTTGGATCTTCTTCTGTAGTTTCATCATCAGATGAAGCACAGCTCATCGGTTCTTGCTGCTATAACATATAAGAGAACGAGATACAAAATGTGTATTGAGGCAGATGATGTTTCTTAAACAGAGTAGACGAGGTGAAGGCTGGCAGAAATCTAGAGGATATAGGTGCCAGGAACCTTCTTATAGCCCCTGCACAATTATGAGTGGGGAATTTTATTGTAGAGAGTATCTTACTATAATATAAAGCACCTGTAGGTGACTGTGGCTGTGATTTGGCACCATGTAAAAAAATTGAAATGAATTTAAATAAATTAGCTTTTGTGAGCAACACATTTTGCAAGCTGTAATCCTGCCTCTTTCTACTAGGCATAGGACATTTAAACGTGACGATCTATGGACGATCTATGGATGTTATTTAAGTGGCAGCCTTCAGTCTATGAAAAAAGAAGAAGAAAAAAACAGACTCGGTCTCCTCAGACTGCCATGTTAAAACTTCCTGTATGCATATACGCTACCATTTCATGGTCTGGATCTACCTCTTTGGTTTCTGCTTTCCCAGCTGACAGATGACTGGCCTACGAGTCAAAAAAAAAGATGGATGATGACCATCTCAATGGCATAATTTTAATATCCTTAAAATACTTTTCACTCAAGGCAGCTTCACATACCGTAGGATCTTCATCTTCGTCAGAATCAGATGAGTAACAATCTGTGTCCCCATCATTGTAGACTGTGTTATCTCTCGCAATATGCTGTCATGGATTGTAGCACAAAAACAGAATGAGGAACCTTTTTCATTTTAGAAGTATAAAAACTTCTAAACATATCAATAAACTACATATGCCGGATCCATGATTTAATCCCAATAATAATCCCATGTAATGTTTGACACCCCTACTTTACCATTACATGCTCTGAATCTCCTCTTCTGTCATCTGTAG